GTGAGTCGCCGGGGAATAGAACTGGATCCATCGAAGATCAAAGCCATTCAAGAATTGCCATCGCTAAAGAACAAGAAGGACGTAATGAGTTTCTTGGGGAGACTTAACTACATCAGCCGGTTCATATCACAATCTACAGTTATCTGTGAGCCAATCTTCAAGATGTTGAAGAAGGATGTCGCCACCGAATGGACTGATGACTGCCGGAAAGCTTTCGACAGAATCAAGGAATACCTGTCAACACCACCAGTCTTAGTCCCGCCTGAGCCAGGTAAACCTCTGTTACTCTACATCGCAGTGTTAGATGGTGCCTTCGGGTGCGTCCTGGGGCAGCATGATGAAACGTGAAGGAAAGAGCAGGCCATATATTATCTCAGCAAGAAGTTCACTCCATATGAGGCCCGATATTCTCTCTTGGAACGCACCTGCTGTGCTCTGACTTGGGTGGCCCAGAAGCTGAGGCACTACTTCTGTGCCTACACTACATACCTCATATCAAGGATGGATCCTCTAAAGTACATCTTTCAGAAGCCCATGCCCACCGGCGAGCTAGCCAAGTGGCAAATCCTGTTGAGCAAATTTGATATTGTCTACGTAACTCAGAAAGCAGTCAAGGGATAGGCACTAGCAGATCACCTCGCTGAAAAACCCTGTGGATGGAGAATACAAACCCCTAAAAACGTATTTTCCCGACGAAGAGGTAGCAGTCATAGGAGAAGATATTGCAGAATCCTATGATGGGTGGAGAATGTTTTTCGATGGAGCAGCAAATTTCAAAGGAGTCGGCATAGGAGCAGTTCTAGTATCAGAAACTGGTCAGCATTATCCGGTGTCTGCTAAGCTCAGGTTCTCCTGCACCAACAATATGGCCGAGTATGAAGCCTGCATTTTAGGGCTCAAGATGGCTATTGACATGAACGTTCAAGAGTTGCTAGTAATTGGGGATTCAGATCTGCTCATACACCAGGTCCGAGAAGAATGGGAAACCAAGAACTCCAAGATACTCCCTTATCTGCATCATGTACAGGAGTTGAAGAAGAGATTCACAAAGACAGAATTCCGACATGTTCCCAGAATCCAGAATGAGTTCGCCGGTGCGTTGGCTACCCTGTCATCCATGATACAACATCCGGACAAAAACTTCATTGATCCCATTCCAGTAAATATCCATGATCAGCCCGCTTACTGTGCTCATGTCAAGGAAGAAACAGACGGAAAACCTTGGTTTCATGATATCAAGGAGTACTTGGCAAAAGGAGAATACCCAGAACTTGCAAACGATACTCAGAAGCGCACACTTCGAAGGTTGTCCAACAATTTCTTTCACAGTGGAGGAATCCCATATAGGAGGACTCCTGATTCAGGACTATTAAGGTGTGTCGACGCAAAAGAAGCATCCAGGTTGTTAGAGGAAATTCATGTCGGGACCTGCGGTCCACATATGAACGGCTTTGTTTTGGCAAAGAAAATACTCCGAGCTGGTTACTTCTGGATGACTATGGAGACGGATTGCATCCAGTATGTCAGGAAATGCCACCGCTGTCAGGTACATGCAGACATGATAAAGGTACCTCCCAATGAGCTTAATGCAACAAGCTCACCATAGCCGTTCGCCGCTTGGGGAATGGATGTTATTGGACCAATCGAACCTGTCTCTTCCAACAGGCACAGATTTATCCTAGTGGCAATTGATTACTTCACTAAATGGGTCGAAGTAGCATCTTACAAAGCAGTAACCAAGAAAGTCGTGGCAGACTTCGTCCGCGACCGTATCGTTTGTCGGTTCGGAATTCCAGAGTCCATCATTACTGATAATGGCTCCAACCTCAACAGTGACCTGATGAGAGCCATGTATGAAACCTTCAAGATCAAGCACAAGAATTCTACAGCCTACAGACCGCAGATGAACAGAGCCGTAGAGGCCTCCAACAAGTACATCAAGAAGATACTAAGGAAAATGATAGAGAAGCATAAGCAGTGGCACGAGAAGCTACCATTTGCTTTATTGGGGTACCGCACCACAGTTCGCACATCAACCGGGGCAACTCCCTATATGCTGGTTTATGGTACAGAAGCCGTCATTCCCGCCGAGGTAGAAATTCCTTCCTTGAGGATCGTACAAGAAGCTGAGCTCGACAATGCAGAGTGGGTGAAAAGTCGTTACGAGCAGCTAGTTCTTATAGATGGAAAAAGAATGAATGCAGTATGCCATGGTCAGCTTTATCAGAATAGAATGTCCAAAGCCTTCAACAAGAGAGTCAAGCCGAGACAGTTCACACCGGGGCAGCTGGTGTTAAAGAAAATTTTTCTGCATCAAGATGAAGCCAAAGGGAAATTCTCTCCTAACTGGCAAGGCCCATACATGGTTCACCGAGTTCTAACAGGAGGAGCTCTTATACTTGCATAAATGTTTGGAGAAGTTTTGCCAAAACCAATCAATTCAGATGCAGTCAAGCGTTACTATGTGTGATCTTATGCTTTCCTATATGATGTATTTGAACTACGTCTGACCTGATTCCCTTTTAAGAGGGGATACGTAGGCAGCCTTATGGGTTCGGTCACAATTCAATAAAATTTTCATTTCCCCCGCAATTGGAAATTGGGGAAGAATTTTGAGGAGGACCCTCAAAATTCTGAAGTAATTTCAGCCGATCATCGCGAGCAGCAGTCAGAAAAGTCAACCCATTAAACTGGGGCAGAATTTTGAGGAGGGCCCTCAAAATTCCGTAGCAAGAGAGGTTGCAATGTCCTGAACCACGTCACAGTCGTCGGTTCATCCAAAAACTATTTCTTAANCCGATCTCGTCGGTTCATCCAAAAACTATTTCTTAAATATATACTTATGTCATATTTTTACGAATTCATGCATGTTTATTATCGAAACCGCTTTGTTCAGCGATGCTACCCCCAATGATACATACCGATATCACCGAAACAGAGCTGAGCAGGTCAAGCAAAGTCAGCAGGGATATGAACTAACCTTCCCCTTTTACAAAACTCACGATTTTTCTTTGGATGCAGGCACCCAAGTCGCAAAATCATAGAATATATTATACACTCATACTGTTCAGGAATACAACCCTCAGAACCGTCACACCTATTCACCGTTGCTATCTGCACACAATATCCCCAGCAGCCACAGTATCACAATCAACTATCAAGCTATCAGCTAAGAAATTTTATTACTATTCGCCTTTCATCTCTTGCATAAGGCTACCATTCTGCCTTCCGAGGTTAAGCTCTACCTCCATCTGCATTCTTGCATTGCATAAGGATACCATTCTGCCTTCCGAGGTTAAGCTCTACCTCCATCCGCATTCCCTGCGTTGCATAAGGCTACCATTCTGCCTTCTGAGGTTAAGCTCTACCTCCATCTGCATTCTCTGCATTGCATAAGGCTACCATTCTACCTTCCGAGACTAAGCACTGTCTCCATCTGCATTTCTGCATTGCATAAGGCTACCATTCTGCCTTCCGAGGTTAAGCTCTACCTCCATTTGCATTCTCTGCATTGCATAAGGCTACCATTCTGCCTTCCGAGGTTAAGCTATACCTCCATCTGCATTCTCTCAATTGCATAAGGCTACCATTCTGCCTTCCGAGGTTAAGCTCTACCTCCATCTGCATTCTTGCATTGAATAAGGCTACCATTCTGCCTTCCGAGACTAAGCACTGTCTCCATCTGCATTCTTGCATTGCATAAGGCTACCATTCTGCCTTCCGAGACTAAGCAATGTCTCCATCTGCATTCTTGCATTGCATAAGGTTACCATTCTGCCTTTCGAGACTAAGAATTGTCTCCCTCTGCATTCTCTGCATTGCATAAGGCTACCATTCTGCCTTCCGAGGTTAAGATCTACCTCCATCTGCATGGCTGAAATATCGCCACCTTTATTTACATCTTGCATGGCTGAAACATCGCCACCTTTATTTACATCTTGCATGGCTGAAACATCGCCACTTTATTTACACTTGCATGGCTGAAACATCGCCATTGTATTTACACCTGCATCGGCTGAAAGATCACCGCTTTACTTACATCTTGCATCGGCTGAAACATCGCCACTTTACTTACATCTTGCGTCGGCTGCAATATCGTCACCTTTATTTACATCTTGCATCGGCTGAAAGATCGCCCCCTTTATTTACATCTTGCATCGGCTGAAAGATCGCCACCTACTGCATCTCATGGGCTGAAAGATCGCCAAACTGTCCAAAGACGTCATTTATTCGGAGGCACCATTTCCATAGCCCGAGAACGCCATGCCATGGCCCGAGGTAGGGGTGTGCATTCGAATGGATTTATCGATAAATCGAATCGATTATTTGTTATTGAAATCGAAATCGAAAAAATCGAAACCTTATTGAAACGATAACGATAAGCATATGTACAAATCGATAATCGATAAGTAATTATCGATAAGGGTCAAAATCGAATCGATAAATCGAATGCACACCCCTAGACTGTAGACACTTGTTAAATGAGTAATTACCTATTTGTGTAGATTAATATAGCATACAGAATGTATATATATTCCGCTACTATTTTGAAAGCGGCTATACAATATTATTTTCCCTAATCTATACCCTTTCCTTTACCCTAAGTCCCTTACCCTATTATTTCCTCTACCACATTTAAGGAATGATCATATTTAAAGATCAAGGGAATGAAGTTCAAATTAATGGAAAACAGAATTAGCCGTGATGATGTGTTTTGTTTTGTTTTGTTTTTTTTATACCGTTGGAGTGTTGGTGGCATACATTTGATCCCTAACTTTAGTTTTGTTGCATGTGCTTGTTGACACAATTTTTATATTATAAATGGTGTTCGTCTTATTTTAGCTTCTTTTTGTCCATATTAGTTAGGCGCGTTTATAGCGATATACTTTTCGTGGAATCTAGCAAATTTTCTTATTGGTGTAATCGATAACCGAATCGATAAGTCCCCAAAATCGATAAATCGAAACCTTATTGAAACGATAACGATAAGCATATGTACAAATCGATAATCGATAAGTAATTATCGATAAGGGCCAAAATCGAATCGATAAATCGAATGCACACCCCTAGTTGAGTGTTAAAAACAAAGTCTCCAGAACTTTTTATTTTATCATATCTGTGGAATTTAGCCGTGTGGTCCTGAAATTTATTAAAGTAATCTTATAAGGTAGTAATAACAATTTATGTGGGACTTAAGCAAACAATGAATGAATTATCTTGTTTCTCTAATTGGTTGAATCACATATGAGATGAGATTACAGCCTACGGAAAAAAGAAATATAACAAAAATTAACATAAGGGACTGATAATATTTAGCTCAATATTCTTTTGTATTGTCAAATATAATTATCCGCAGTCTGTACTATTGGATGAATGGCGATCTGGTTTGTAACATGAATGACTTGCTGGACTAGTTAAAATCTTTGAGCATGTGATGCAAAACAAGTCCAGATATTTTGTAAATTATGCTGTACCAGCTTAGTACTGTTTATAAATAGAACGCTAACTAAAAAAAAGTATTTTGCTCAATGTCGCCTTTGATAATTCTTATTATCTCTTTCTTAGATGTTCTCGCATAATGTGATGTGGGGCATTCTGCTCTATTTTAGATCCTGCAGCTAAGTGAGAGTACGCGACTTTGACTCAACCTTCTATTTGCTTTATGACAATCAGGGATTTGCTTCAGAGAATCTGTCTGGATTACAAGAAAGCTCAGTAACTTAAATGGAGATTAGCCTTGTATAAGCAATAACGTTTCAAAAATACACGTTTTACTCAATTACAAGTTTGCAACCGATTCATCCACCGAGGAACTTGCATGCAGTACTTCTTATGCAACCCAAGTGACTAATGCTGCTAACCATCAATACATTTGGCTGAGCATCCCTCCGTGTCATCATCATTGTTTCTTATCTTAGCTTTGAATTCTTTCCTTCTCCCTGTTGTATAATCCTTGATTCTTTCTCCTTTGTTGCATCAGTTGGTGTCTGAAATCCATTGTTGTATGATATCTTTCTAAGGTTACCACTCAACCCTGAAACATTGTGTTTTGCTCAGAAAATCTTGGTATGTGCAGTGTCGGCTCCTTTAACCTTGTCAAATTACATCTTGACGCCTCAGCCTACTGCAACAAAGATATAGCTGGCTTTGTTGTTTGTGATCTGCTAGTGGTGGGTATGAACCTCACCACATGATCTCTAACAAGTAAAGCATACTTATGGCCAGAAATACATGTTAAGTTAACACACGTGGATTTTGAAGTGGTGAATCCATGTAATGGCTTGCTCTGCTTCTTAGAACCGTTGTTCTATGATCCAGTGTGGGTTCGCGGTCTAATTGTTAGTTCAGTACATCACCCATTCACAAGCATGTGATTGAACTTGAGGATGATATTTATTTCTGGATTTCGGGTTGATAGAAATTCTGGTAAGTATAAGGTTGTTAAATTATTGTACTGTTTCATAGTGCGGAGTTCAGCCTAAGTTTTTTCGTTGGATGTGAATTGCCTAGATCAGATAAGTGTAAATCTTCCGTGTGAAGTAATCACCTATTAAAGGTGTATATGGGTGGTAAAACTAGTATAGTTCCCACATGTTACCTGCAGAGTGCCCTCAACATTAAGTCTAGTGTACTAAGGCCCTGTTTTTCCAAATTACTGCAGGTACCTGAAACGGATGAACCTATCAGAAGAAGACACCCAACGTGGTGATGGTCTAGGGTGCAAGGTGAATATGATCAAGCTTAGGTTGAAGCAGCTATGTATGAGCAATTAATCAACATCCAAATGCTGATCATTCTTCTCCACCACTTCTACCTTTTGAAACTCCGCGTTGTGATCCTGAACTACTGGGAGGGTTCAATGGGCAGGCAAATACCCTCAGAATGCTCAACCTCTACATCATTCTGGAGGATTTGTGCCCATATTGAGTCGATGAAACTATGCAGGGCCTAATTCTTTGAGGTGTAATATTCATAGAATTGCTTTGACTGAGCAGTGAATGCAGAATAAGTATGGTGCATGCTTCACTGTTTTATGAAACCAAGCTGGAAAGGAAGAAGCTGGTAAATTCAGTTATGCCATTGAACCTCTTTGTCCGACAAACTTCTGCACTGGTTTATGATATGATGATTTCTGTGTTTTTTTCACATTCTTGGGCAGTGACATTTTGATTGGTTTTTATTGTTCGTCTTCCATCAGGAATTTGCGTACTTTCTTTTTTGACTAGGTGTAAGTAGTAAGCAATCATCAGTGGAATCTCCAATTGCCAATGGAAATAGACACTGCCTAAAGGAAAAAGAACATTCAGGGGCACCTCATTCCCAAGTAATTGTACCATAAATTTGTGAATGTTGCTCTTTAGTGTTCATGGTTCGACTTGCAAAGTTTTTTATCACTGAAGTTGTAACACACAATAACCCAACTTTTACCAAGCCTCTTCTCTCTTCAAAGAGGAATCTGCTAATCGACATCATTAGTCAATAGGCCTATAACATTTATTTGCACAGTGCAAGTAAATGTTGTAGACATGAATGGATCAAAATAACAGGGATGATCTCGCAGGCCCACTTATAAGAAGCAATTGAAGATAATCCTACAAATATCTGGTGTTATTTTTTACTGATCTTCGGCGAAAAGGATAATATAACTAAAATAACATTTGTAACTAGTACTACTTTTGATCATTGCTTATATTCGGCGAAAAGGATTATATAACTAAAATAACAGTTGTAACTAGTACTACTTTTGATCATTGCTTATATTCAATACAGAATTCTTACAATAAATAGGCAATAACCCGAAACACCCACTCAATCTGAGCCAAAATGAAATAGAAAAGGAAAAAGAGGAAAGGGATGAAAAATAGAACCAAGGAAGAATGAAAAGAATAGACAAAAGCTGAAAATTTGGTACGTGGAAAATACAAGGAACAATCACGTGTTATATGAGCTGATCGGACTATCCGTCATGTGTGACTCCATAACTACCATAAGTTTGTTCAGTAAGATGGCGAAACAAATTGTACAAAATGGTGGCACCGCGGCAGAAATGGTCATCAAACTACCATAACAGTTGCAAGAAGAATTGCAACAGAGCTCATGAGAATGCTAGCAACAACGGAGGATTGGCCATTTGGAGGAGTGGGAGCAATAGCTGACCCATTGTCATTAGATGGGTTTATCTTTGCCACAGGTGGAAGAGGTGGCTCAACCACATCACTTTCAGTGAGTACCGGGTTGGGAGCTTCAGCTGGTGGCAAAAACTGAGGAGCCATGAGTCCTAGGAGACTCCCAGGTTGTACAGGGCTCATATATGGTGGCAAGTCTTTGAACCCTAAACAACGGTTCCCTGTACATTCCAAACAATTCGTATATGTCAGAATTGAGGATATCTAGTAATCTTGCATTTCGTACACACAACTTAACGGATATGACCAAGCAAAAGCTCTGGTAAATATACACAAATACAGCAGATTGCACCAGAGATCCATTATACCAAATGATCTTTGAGCAGAATCAGGATGATGAATCTAGAAACTAAAAGAGGAAGAAAAGGGAAAGGGGCGAATAGGGGTTGGGATTGGACCACACTATGAGAAATAATAAGCTATATGAATAACTTACTTCGGTATCTAGCCGCTGTGGCAGGGTATTCTGTAATAACACCATCAATGCCAGCTCCAACAGCATAGTTGTTTAACTCAAGAGATGAATCTGAGAAAAAGTCCCATGCTTGAGACACAAACTCATTGTCGAAGAGTTGTACATATACTGTGAGATTTGATGACTGCAGCTTCTGCACTACATTCGTTTGTGCAATGATAAATGCATCCTCGCTGGGGAAGACAGATTTCTTAGTTATGATAACAGATTTTGCAAAGGTCTTGATCTCCAATATAGTTGAGCTCTCAATATCACGGATATCATCCCCAACCCCATAAACAAGTTCATAACTACTTTTCTTAAATTCTTCCAGAACAGAACTGTCAGTTGACTGGATCAAAACTTTCTTAGCTGTCTGATTATTGTAACCAGATTTGTTTAAGGCGTCCAGAACAGCACCAGTTACACCTAATCCCTGCTTCGCCAGGTATGCTGCATTCTGAGTGGAGCCAAAATATTTCCAAAATAATGAACAAGGAGTTAAAACCTTCATTGCACAATGATATTCATGAACATTAGATTTTTCTCTCAAAATAAACCAAAAAACGCAGCTACTTTACTACTTTTACTATTCTTTCCGCTTCACTGTGATGTCAAAGTTTTTCTTTTCTTTTATAATCCTTTGTATATTTAATGGATAATAACTTTCATTAAGTAATGAAAATAAAATTATTATGATTTCTGTTAGTCCTTTAAAGCATAATGCTACCAGAAAGGCAGCCGCCATGGTGTTTGAGCAAGCAATCAAAATTGCTTCATTTCAGAAAATTGGAGATGCTTGGTAGCTGGAATGATATACGTCGGGATCCTTTCTGTATTTTGCAGAGGATTAAACCTTCAAAATACTAGTCACAAAGTGAATCTGTTTCCCTTTGAAAACATACCATTTTCTAAAACCTTTTTTTAATGACGGTGTGCCCAGGCCAGCTTGTGCGTACCTCGGCCATTTCACCAGGTATCTGCTACCTCCCACCAGCACAGATACCGGGCAGATCTGCCTGCCAAGGCTCGGGCAGATGAGAAGAAATCACCTAGTGTTTTTTGCCTTCACTGGAATTTGAACCTGAGATTCTCATGGTTCTCCACCCACCTCATTGACCACTAGGCCACACCTTTGGATGCATCCAAAATCTTTTATGGGAAAGTTTGGCCTATTTCCCCGCATCCAATCACAAATGTGATAGCATAAGAAGCTACCGAATTCTCTCACTCAGAATGAGAAGTGACAAGTAGTGGATATAAGCATTTAGGATTCTACACATAATTGATGCATAACAATGTTGGTATAAAGACTATGTTGCTCGGACTCTCTGAAAATATCGTCGGATGCGTGTCGAATTCTCCAAAAGCATTGTATTTTTGGAGAATCCGATATGGGTGCGGCAGTGTTTCAGAGAGTCAGTGCAACATAGTATAAAGGTCTATGGAACTGCCACTGAATAAACTCACCTCTATGCTGATCATCACACCAGAAACAGAAGTAGCATTTTTGGCAAATGTCAAGAAGTCCGCTAACGACATAAAGTTTCCGTCATTTCTGGCCTTTGGATTCCGAAACAATCTAAACACTGACCATGGGTTTGATATTGCCGCTGCAAGAAATTAGAGCATGTTTAAGTGCAGTGTTGAAGCAACAGTATTTCGAACTTTCAACTGAAGTAATGCATAACCTTGCAATGAAAAATAATTAGAAGAAAAAGAAAACATCTGAGGAAATGTCCAGATAAGAAATGAAGATCTCTAGCAAGTTGTAGAACATAAAGTCCCAAAAAGTGCTTGCTGAAAAAAGGATGACATAAAACATGTCAAAGTGGGAAATAGGCTATTACTAAGCCAAAAGAGGAATCCAGTTTTTCTAATTCTTTCACACATTTCAGAACAATGCAGTATTCATTAGGATATACAGTAGAACTGCTTTTATTAATGAGGAAGGAGAACTGGGATAATGAATGCTACAGTATTGCTCCCCTCTTAAGAGTTTATATGTGCAGTTTAAAACAAATTAACAAGCTAGAAAAGGAATAGCTAAAACTTAGATTCCCTAATCCCTGAAAGTGTTATTTGTGCAAAAAATTAAAGCATAAAAGTAAAGAAGTTCCCTATATGAATGAGATAAGAAACACAATACTGAAGACAAACCGCCTTATTTTACAACAATTTTTAACAGTCCAAGATCCAAATGAAAGAAGTGATCGTGGCAAAAGATACGACTTATTGGAGGGCAAGCAGGGCAAAAATTATAGAGGCATGCAATCTTCCATTTTTCTTTTATATAGAAAGTTAGATACAAATGGCGTCGCACGGACGTGGAGGCATGAAATAGTAGGAGTGAAACATGATAAGCCACATAATTTAGCACTAAGAACTAACAGTTGCTTCAACTTACGTTTCAGGCTTTGAATCTCGGTCCAAGTAAGGTTGATAGTGAGTATTCCATTTGTTATCTTAAGCTCAGGGACAGTGGTAGTAATGTTGCTGAATGGCGATTGGGCCGCAGTGGTCTTGTCTATCAGATTTATCGAACCAAGACAGAAAGGTATTCCATCTTTAGTCATTTGGACAGGACAGTCGAGAACATCTGCACCATCGGAAGCAGCCTTTGTGTATGCTAAATCAGTGCAACCAGGATAGTCACCACTTGCTCCTTCAGATGTAATAATCTGAAGCTTTACTGCAGGCCAACAGGAGGAAGAGGGAAAACAAGAGAGAGGAATAAAGCATCCATCAGTCTCTATATAGATTGTTCTAAAAGAACTTGATAAATGATGAAACAATAAGCATTCATTTGGTGAATTAGTTATGCATGGATAATCATACAGTTAATATAACATTAATTAATAACTTTGAAATTGCTATATGTTGAATAATAATAGAGGGTTTTTTGTGCAGGGCATGCCTACTATAAGGGTATTTTTGTCTTTATATACTGTTGTCCAGGTATCGTTAATACATGTATTATTTTTCCGCATTGTACCACGTAAAATAATACTTAACAGAGGTTTTCACACAAATTATGCCAGTATTAATAACGTGAGTTTAATATTGGAAACCTATTCATTAGCTATGTAGAGTTCTATACTGGAAATCATTATATATCGTATTTAGTTATGCAGAGTTTTATTTTACCAAGTACATGCTGTATTTTTGTAATGAGATTATTATTTATTATTAAGCGGTCAACCAAATAACCCCTAAGATCAGAAGACAAAAATGATTAGTAAAAGAATCTTAATAGAACTCAGGAAACTAACGATAGCTGAATCGTGCGGAAGTTCAAGAATCATGGTCACATTGTTGAACCATGTTCAAGAAATGCTAGATTAGCTTTACATAACTCATAACAACGCCCATAGCTATTTTGCCTAGAAAAGTTCAACTTTCAGCTTTTCTCTCTACCTCTCTTTCTCTTTTTTATAATGACGGTGGTATTTGAACTAACTTGCACGCACCTCGACTAATCCACCGGGTATCTGCTATCTCCACCAGCACAGGTACCGGGTAACTTTGCTCATTAAGGCTTAGGCAGATGACAAGAAATCACTTAGTGTTTTTTCTTTTTTGCTTCCGTTGAGATTTAAACCCTCATGGTTCTACTGCCACTTTATGACCAGTAGGGCACACCCTAGGATGCGTTGCTTTGGTCTTTCAAGTTCAACATGGTACATTGCATGTGAACCAAATTTGAAATTTGAGTCTATCAAATTCAAGGTTTAAAATTTTAGAAAGTTAGTTGACTCCATGTTCATTTCACTTTTAACCAAAAGTGGGAATAAGTTCACTTTACTTTCAACCTCAAGTGTGAATATTTAAATGCTTTCCAAGTCGTGCATTATCAAAATTTACTGAAAACCTTTAACCATATAAAACAACATAAATCAGTCTGTGGAAAAGCATGCATATCAGAATCGTGTACCTTGAGGTTTATCATTCTTGCCCAAATGAGAGAAGCAATCTGCATGATCAGAAAAAGCAGATCAAGGAATCAAAGCGCTTTCGAACCAACTCAGAATATTCGTCAACACTAAATGCAAAACGGTGCCAATCATAGGTTCAAGTTTCAACTCTGAGATAGCAACAACTGAGTGTTTCTTTGAATAATTATATTGATCACCTTCATCGGTCTAGCTCATTTATAAGCCTAGTGCTTCCAAGTCTCCTCTTCAGTAAAAGATAATCATTTTATGATCAAGAAAGCTAAGAGTGGAGTAGCATGTGAAAGAATTGAGCATAAAACCCAAAGTTTACGGCTAAGAGTGGAGTAACCAAGATCTTGACGAACCCTTTGGATCCCCCCCCCCCCCCTTCCGGATGCCCTTATACCCTTCAAAAAGTTTTAAGTTACTTAAATATCCTTTTGCGAAGGATGATGGTAGATATAAATTGGACAAGGAGCAAGTTTTTCTCGACAAGTAAATATGATTGACAGCCAAATATAATTGATTTAAAATAAAACAAGTGAAACTACGAAAGCAACAAATAAAGCTTATACTGGCACACTCTCGAACAGAGAATCAAACTAGATTGTCACTTACCTACTGACGATGATGGAGTCAATGGGAAGTCAGATAGCACTCCGTCCACCGAGAAGTCACCGTTGTCAATATAGGATAAATACTCAGCTACAGGATCATAACTATAATTATAAGCAGAAGGTACGTCATTAGCAAAGTCGGCTGCAAAAATCTCAAGACCTTCCTTATGAGCATCCAAAACGACTGAGGTATGCGGCTGCAAGTACAAACTGTTGTCCACTGGCCAGATATAGTGTTTGGGAACAAGAATCCCTGAGGCGAAGGTTTTAACAAATGTGAGATTCTTTAACAAAGAACCGTATGTTTGATTCGTTGATGGCTCAGTATCATCCTCGCCGAGAAACCGGAAAACGAATTTTGTCACTCGTGGATTGAATCGCCTTGCGATACTTCGGAGAAAATTCACCTCAGGTGATGAAATATAGTTGATAATTACACTTCTAGACAGGGAAACAACAAAGCTTCTCATACTCAGATTGTGCTGGCTGTAGAAGGAGTCATGCTGGAAATGTATTTGGAAAAGCAGTCAATTAATAGCTATGCTAACAGAAATTTAACATACCACCACATAAAATGCAGTAATGCACATTGCTACAATCAAGTTGTTCCTTTTAGATTCTTAGAGATCGAAAAACTGCAAGTACGCAACAACTAATTACCACAAGCATTCGGTAATCAAAAGACATACCTGGATATTCAACCATAAACCTGGAGGTTTGACTTGGGTAGCTACCTCCTGGACAGTAAGAATTTGCTGGGGGGTGCCATCAAATCTTGGAGATCGTGAATACACTCCTTGTTTCACTGTTCCAGGTATCAGGATTAATTACTTCTTAGTAGAACAAAAGAGACTAACTTTCATCAAGCATAATAACAAAACCAACTCCATTAGCTAGGCTAGATTCTCTAGACTATATCAACATGTTTTTCCATCACATTTACATTTGACAGGATCCATTGCTAGTTGATTAATCCTGTGCAAATTGCACAGAGCATCGTGTTTACTAAGATGATCTGATTCTTCATTTTAAGATAGTGGTTTGGGGGGGGGGGGGGGGTGTCGACCGACTATATCATACAAATAATAGCATATTATGATGCAGAAAGACTGCCAATTAGCACTTCATCAAAGAGTCAAACTTTTGAAAGATAGGATCATAGTTATTCCACGAAATAAAAACCTAAGTTCTTCATCCATCAATCCTTATCCTTTGTATTCGGGTGCAAGAAAAAAGTTTTGATATAAGTGCATATACAGAAATGATACAACACACAGTTCCAACATACCAAAATTAAAAGAACCAAATAAATGCAGGTGGATATTAGCGTCAGATACACTATAATGGCATGTTACTAGAACCGGGGCTATCCACCCACATAAAGAAAGAGAGGAGTGACTGAACACCTTCTCAGACTAGGAAATAAAAGGAAAACAAAGACAGAGAAGCTAAGCACCGTTTAAAATTCTAAAATAGGAAAACCCTGAAATAAATTGGTTTATTGTGTAAAACAAAAATAGCGGATAAGCCTCTCAATCAAGTACATATTACAGTAAAAACAGTTGGGTTCGGATTGTAAACCCATTGCCCAAACCAAGGGGTTATTAGGTCTAAATGCTGATCCAAAACAGTCATGCACATCTATAGCACCATCAAGTATGAAGCATATAGTAAAGGATGCAGAAGGCAATGAGTTAAACTTACAGGTGACAAGCGCCAAATCCTTGAAATTGTAATCTACAGAAAACCATCCTTTCTGAGGAACACCGTTCACCAAGTAGGTATTCTGCTTGTTTTTGAAGAGAACATCAACGTCAGAAGAATTGTCGAGCCTGATATCAGATAAACAAATGCCAACCCCATCTTTCGTGAGTTGAACATCACACCAAGCAACCCAATCGGCGACGCTAATCGCGCTTGCCAAAGCATAAGCATTAAAGCTTGAATCGGGCATTAACCCAGAAAAGCCGCCACGAGCTATGACTTTCGGTGCATCTCCTGCAAAGCAAAAAAGATGGAGTTAATCAAAATATAAGGATGAAAACTAAACAATTTTATTCATTATTTTCTGAAAATAAATGAAAACTAACTACCAAAATATTTTAATAAACAGGGAATGCTAACTGATTCAGCTTTTCAATCCTATCTGGAATTTCGCCGCTTATTCAGGGGAAATTCTCATTATCTTTCATTCTATAATTTTTTCTTTTGGGAGGACGTGGTTTGATGATTTAGGGATGAGATTCTATCAAAAAGTTGCATTCAACAACAGCTTGAGATCTACCTCTAATTAAACTAACTTTGATCGGAAATCTCAAAAATAATAACCAGTATAAAACAGCTCAAAGCCTGGACAGTTGAATACCTCAAACGACCAAATCATCTTAACAATTCTGTTACTATCACAACAAAATTGTGCGTTATACTATTCTAGATATATATTTTTCACGATTTGTTCGGTGGCTGTAGAGCTAAAGTTAACTTCCGTTGATAATTTTACTGAAATATACACAAGTCTACGCAGCAACAGTCGCAACAAATTAGTAGCTTAAACAAAAAGTAAACGCATCCGAAGAACTTATCATGATTCCTACATACAGCAAAAGCGAACTTAGTAACGGCCATTTCTAAGGAGCTAGAGGAAAAAAAAACAAGGAGTTACCGCTCAATGTAAGCCATTTAGAGGTAGCATTGTCAGATCTTTGAGCAGAAACAAATGCAGCTGAGCAGCAAAGGAGCAGGAGGCACGAAATAGAACGGAGGTTCCACATTTCCGGCGAACTTAGCCGGAGAAGCGTTTACCGGCGGAAGTTTTTCCGATTCAGCTGATATTTCTGAAGAAATTAGAAAAGGAGAAGAGTGATGATTGACAAATTGGAGACCAGATAGAGAGAGAAAGTGAGTGTGGGTGTTTGTGCCTTGAGGTAAGGCTGTAGGCTATTTCAGGCTGGCATATTTTCTTTCCACTATTTATGGGTACATTACAACTAATACCGAGAGATGTTTTTCATTACGCGTCTTTTCGCTTATTTAATATCTTTACCGGCTCTTTCTGCCGGCTTCCCTGTTTGCTTAATTTTTAGTTGCAACTAGCATTTCTATTTTTCACTAGTTAACATATAGTCACTCCCTTCCCACTTATATGAATTTGTTTTTTTTTTGGTCCATTTAAAAAAGAATGATCACTTTTTAAATTTGGAAATAATTTAGCTTAAACTTTTAATTTTACCTTTAATGAAAAAGCTTTTATAACCACACAAATACTCTGGACCTCTTTCTGACATATTTAGGACCACAAATTCCAAAAGTCTTCGTTTTTTTCTTAAACTTCGTGCCCAATCAAACAGATTCGTATAAATTGGAACAGAGGGAGAATTTCACTACAAGTATTCTAAGGAATACCATTAAGATGTCAACATGATATTCATAGTATGAAAATCGTTTGCCTTGCAAGTCTTTAGCATGGTGTAAATTGCGAAAATAACATTCAAGATTGATCAATTTATCGTTTTGCTTGACCAATCGAGTGGCAACAAAAATTACTACTATAAAGTTGATGCTGAAAATCATGAGTGTTCTTTCAAGATGCTCAAAATCATCCAAGTGTTGTATATTTTCTTTGACATTAGTGTGCACCACAATTATGTTGATACTTACTTAGCTATTCAGATTTTACTATTAAATGACGAAAGTAATACTTTTTAAATGACAATAACTTCTTGTAAACAAAAACAACAATAACAATAAATTCAATGAATTCTCACTAGTGGAGTCTGGGAAAGATAGTGTACATAGGCTTTATCCTATCTATCTTGAGAGAGCAGAGACTTTTTCCGATAAACCCTAGACTAAAGAGCTTCTTGTCAACAAAAATAAAGTAAAATTAAGAATAGTAGTAAATAATGCAAAAGAAATAAATTTCCAAAGTCCCGTTGGCATGAAATACATCTATAAGAGAAGAAAACACTTTTTTACTTTTTAGTACAATACTACCTACCTTAACTTTCACGTGCTCATCCTATACAAGTTACCTTTGGCATGTTCTACTCATTAGCAAACACATATAGTAGTGGTGGTAAAAAATACTGTAACTTTTAATCTGTCCAAATTTTAATAAGCAAAGTTATCTAATATTTGTACATACAGAAATAAAGATACTGGAATAAAATAATTAAGATACATGCAAATTGGTTCTAATAATGCCTTTATATAGAGAGAGAGGAGGTACTCATTTACTAGGAAGATTATGTCAAAATGGAAGAAGAAGAAAAAAAGATGTAAAACTTGATGCACAAACCTGTGTTATTCAAGTATTTACTGTTTTACTGCCTTATCAAATGAAGTTTGTGTTAAACATAATGAGTAGCAGCAGTAAATGGCCCTAAATGTAATAATGGAGCTTTAGTAGGTTGGAGCCATTTGAGCTGAAGGATCGGCTAAGAGTGGCTTTGTGTGATTGAAGACAGCTAGGCGGCGACCAAAACATGGGTCAGCGTTCTCTGGCCCCTGCTTACGTGTCACCCTTTCCAAAATTAAATTAGTATTAAATTACCTACTACCGCTGTATAACATCAGCAGCAGCAGAGAAGAACCCGCAAAACGGATCACGTTGTCGCGGGACCCACTTCTGCCCCGATCCATTTTACCATTCGGGCCACAGGTCAGGTATTTTTAGTGGAATTTTTACCTCTTATAGCAAAGGTTAACACCTTATTTATTTTAAATAAATACCATTTAAAAAAATTATATTCTATAGATACCTTTTAAGATTTATAGCAAAATATTTAATTTTGGTAACCTCCTAGCCCTAAGCCACTAAATACGCTAATCAGTTACAATATTTTCTTTCTCTCTCTACTTTGATACATCCTATTCTCTTCCCCCATCCCATTAAAAATTTTGATTCTCTTCCTCTTCTCTGTCTAGTTCGCTTGCGATTTTCTCCTCCGTCGATATCCTCCATTGTAGTAGTGAATAACTCCTCTGCTGTGTATGTGAATGAGCCCTAAAACAACATTCCTAGTGTGTTTTCTAACTTCAGACTCTGACAGCCCTTCCCCTGAATTGTAGTTGTGAAGACGATCGGCTAAGCTTCCTCCAGAGGCATATTCGAGAAGTAAGTTGTAAAGGGTGACGCCATCTTCTTGGGTAATATTAACTCTGAAACAGTGAATAATGTAAGGCGAGTCTTCAAACATGCGGAGGAATGCCCTTTCTTCTTGCAACGATCCAGAACGATTGAGTATGCAAGATTTAACTACAATGGAGGTGGAAGACGCTCTAACGTTCTGCATTGAAAGGGGGAAGTGCACGGTTGGCCACTAATAACACATGTATTTACTTTTAAACCACCGTTTAAAATGTCTTTAGTCTTTAGCCACTGCTTTAATAAACTTTAACTACCCGGACGAAAATACCCTTTTGCTCATGTCCTTAACTTTTGTACTTAACTTCAGGACTTCAGGACTTCAGGACTACATGTCCTTAACTTTTGAACTTGTAACTCTAAGTTCAGGACTACATGTCCTTAACTTTTGAACTTGTAACTCTAAATTCAGGACTTCAGGACTACATGTCCTTAACTTTTGAACTTGGAACTCTAAATTCAGGACTTCAAGGCTACATGTCCTTAACTTTTGAACTTGGAACTCAAACTTCAAGACCAAGCGTCCTTAACTTTTGAACTTGTAAGTCAAAGTTAAGGACCTATTGTCCTTAACTTTTGAACTTGTAACTGTAAGTTAAGGACTGCTTGTCCTTAACTTTTGAACGTGTAACTGTAAGTTAAGGACTGTCTATCCTTAACTTTTGAACTTGAAAATCAAAGTTAAGGACCTATTGTCCTTAACTTTTGAACTTGTAACTGTAAGTTAAAGACTGTCTGTCCTTAACTTTTGAACTTGTAACTATAAGTTAAGGACCGCCTGTCCTTATTTTTAGAACTTGTGACTGTAAGTTAAGGACTGTCTGTCCTTAACTTTTGAACTTATGTCCTTAACTATTGAACTTAACTTTAGGACTTCAAGACTACATTTCCTTAACTTTTGAACTTGAAACTCTAAGTTCAGGACCATGTCCTTAACTTTTGAATTTAACTTTAGGACTTCAGGACTATATGTCCTTAACTTCTGGAAGGAATTGCATTTCCTTTTTACTCATCACTCTTTTTCTTATTTTCACAACTTTTAGATCTAAAAATAAATTCAAGGATCTAAGAGCAAATAAACCCTATTACATTAGACTCACTAGAAAGAAAGATAATCAGCACACCGATTCTGCCACAAGAGAAATGGCAGAAGCATAATAGCTTCAACGTCAACCAAATTTTAAACAAAAAAGTAGAGACGAATCTAAAATCTTCACGAAAGCTCCCATAAAACGTCATATCCGAAAAAAGTCCACTGAGGTCCATTTCTAACATGCTTCGACATAGCAGCGATTTGTACCAAGAGAACACCACAGAATACGAAGTCTTTATGTTTTGAATGCATCAGTGTATTTCTGTTTGAGGAGGAAAGGGTAACACAATCTTTTCATATTAATTTTAATAGACTAGTGGCCACTATTGCTAAGCATTAAAAATGCTGGATAAAAAGTAAATACCAGCTTAAACAGTGGCTACCCCACGCCATTTCTACGCATTGAAATTAGGGTTTGTTCTTGAACAAAGACGACGGAGTTTGGGGCTGAGCAACTTGATTTTCTGTTAATATATTTCAATGTATTTTCATGTATTTCATTGTATTCATTGTCTTTTTTTCATTGTAATTCAATGTATTTTCGTTGTATTCCATGTATTTTATTGTATTCATTGTCTTTTTTTTCCCCATTGTATTTCAATGTATCCCGTTGTATTCTATGTATTTCATTGCATTCACTGTCTCGCTATATGCCATGAATGTATTCATATGTTTTTTTTAATCAATATAATTTATGTATGCAAATGTATTATATAATTTCTCTGAAGATTGCTATGTTTTTGGTGTATTTTTCGGTTGAGAATCTTTTTTATAACTGAAAATACAAAATTTGTGTGTTATAATTGAGTTTGTTGAGTTATATTAGGAGTCTATTATGTTAATTGGTTCACTTTCCGTTTTAAAAACAGTGTAGTCCCCTATTTCACGCCTTGAATACAGTCGAATACAATAATCTGTCCAGCTGTAATCCCACGTTTCACTCCATGAATACAGTCGAATACACTCGAATACAACAACTGATTAGCTGGACTTTCCTGATTCACGCCTATTTTTGCTACTGTATTCATGAATACAATAGCTTAAATACATCAAATACATCTTATAACCACAGAAAAGGTATCTATAATCCGTAATATAGCAAATGGTATCTATAGATGACTAATTACTACTAAAAGATAATGCTTTATGAAAATTTCTCATTTTTAGTTGCTTATACAAATAGAAAGCCTTGGCTTCTTTTTCCTTTTTCTAAATAAATTTCTTTTTTAAGGTATGAATAAGCCCATATATATTGGGGGAGAAAAGATAAAAACTAGTTATAAATATCTTTCATTTCCAGGTATATATATTTAGAGGAATTGGAAATCAAGGTACTTCATAGTAGGTGTATATGGATCGGGTTGGTTCGATTTTTATCAAAATCAAACAAAAAAAAAAAATACGATTTTTTCGATTTTTTTGTTATATAGGTATTATTTCAATCTTACTTTGTTATATTTTTTATAAGTAAATATATGTTTAGTAAAAATCGAAAAAATTGTCAAATATATGATCAATTAAAATATTCTTGGAAGAATTTTCTTAGTAACACATGATAGTTATTTTTTTTTTTGTCTGACAATAATTTTACGTTGATATACACTTTCAAGATTAACCGAATTTAATAATTAAACATAAAAATAAATATGAACCTATATAATGATATGTTCTGTTTAATTTAAATTTATGAAAATACCACTTCAAATTCGAAAAAAAGATGTAAAAATTTA